TCGAGACCCGGATCCGACCCGACACGAAAATCTCACAGAAATTGTTATAAAAATACTTTTACATACAAACAAACACACACGAACTATACAATAATAAATAAATCTAAAAATCATGGATCATAGTGTAAACACATACATAAATATGTAAGTGGGTTAAGGGACGAGCAAATAGATCAGGGAAATATCATAGACGAGGTCTAAAGCGGGCCAAGAGTTGAGTGGTTTGGCCATCTTAGAATTATTTTAATATTTAATATATTGATTTCGATTTTAGTGGTTCAACAAGTGTTCAATTAGTTATTCTAGTTGTATATATATATATATATATATATATATATATATATGTATGTGTATATGTCTCAGCTCAGCCATATGTCTATGTAGATAATATATATATAAACTTTATTGGCGTTATTAGAGTTACTTTCGCATGCCCATTCTCTAGGATCTAATCAAACAGCAGCCACAGAGAATTATTCTGTTAAGTATTGATGCATATCTGTTTATCGCTTAACATTTCCATCCAACCAGTTCTTGTAAGTTCTCTAAAATATTAATGATTCAGATACAATCTCTATATAGTATTTATGTATGTATATATATATATATCACTTTTATCGTTTAAACACTGCTCTTTCGCTTTTTACATTGTATGTGGTTGGTGTAGTTCTTGGTTGCTTTTTGTGGTTTTCTTTAGAGTTTTGCTTATGTCTACATTTAGCCGATTTAACAGTAGATATATATGTAATAAGTTTATGTAAATATCTGTAAATATTTAATATAGAGTGAGACAAAGTTTACGGACACACTGGTGAAATTTGGACATTCCGAAGAATATACTATGTGGAGGGGTGAGGGGGAAACTACAACAATTTTGACTTGAAAACTTGACAATCAATTGCTTGCCAAAGATTATGGTTCTGATTATGGTTCGTGATTACGCACAAACTGTTCCAGCTGTCGATGCAACTGACCCTGATAGGGTACCTTATGCTTGCTAATGGTCGTAGCCGCCAGGCACTGCAGGGTCACAAAGTTGAGCAGTGGAATGGTGCTGGTGGGATTGGAGGCAATTAAGTCGTAGGGCCGCTTGTCGGCACGGTTCGGCTGATCAATGTCCGCCCCGTACTTGAGCAACAGGTTCACAATCTGTGGGGGGAAATTCACATAGTAAGAAAGTTTAAAATTAACAACTGCAGTTCACGGCTCACATCATTGTTGAAGTTGTACGGCTGACAAGCCACATGCAGGGGTGTAGATTTGGCTTCGTTTTTAATGTTTACATCAACGCCGCACTCGATGAGCACTTTGATAACTTCCGCATTGGGAAACACAGTCTTCTAAAAGGGTGAGAAGTGGGTGGCATTAATGTGGATTGCTTAAAGAGTTGAATACATACATCGGCAAAGTTATCGTCGGTTATGTAGCCGCTTTTAATCACATTCAAGCGCGAGGCGCACAGGTGGAGCAGGGTGTCCGCGGTGCTGGCACTCCTCAAATTGCCAACGACAACCGTTTCGTGAATGGCCTGATAGATCAGCTTGTTCTGTGGCTGGGTTGGGACGGTATTGATCAGCAAGTAGATGAGATGTGCCAGACAGCGCATCACGCGATCGTAGTTCTCCTGCTGCCTGCGAAACACTGGTCGCTGCTTCAGCAAGGCCTTCACAAGCACAGCGCTCTCCGCGAGCGTGCGGAACACACCCAGAACATCATCGAACCTGGGCAGAACCTTGTCGTCCTGGACGAAACGTGGCCGTGCTTCGGTGCGTATGTGGCTGACGTTCTGCACATGCAGGTCGAGCAGAAGGCGGACCAGCGCCTGTGCGGCAAAGCAAGTCTCGAAATGCAATATTGACCAGTTGGAGACGCGCACTTCGAGCAGAAAGCGCCAGAGATCAACGCAGCGCTGGAACTGCAAGGAGTCCGCATACGAGGCACCCCTGAAAGTCAATCGGAAGAGCATATCCTTGTGGGTCAGGCCCAGGATACGCTCGCAGATCAAAAGACTCTGAATGCGCATGGCATCCATGTCGGTGGCAATGTTGTCCAGCTCCTCTAGTGTGGTAAACTCCACCGCATTGTTGTACGCACTGCGCAACAGAACGGCCGGCTTCTTCTCAATATACGGCGTGCAGGCGGCCCGTATATGGTGTGCCATGCGCCAGTGCAGTATGCACACACGCGACTCGTTGTGCTCGTCGAGAAAGGTCGAGCCCATCAGTTCGTGTGCCTCCGCCAGCCGCTGTGCTGAATAATTCAATTCCTTCTTCAGATAGTCGAATATCTGATGAGCTCCCTTGAGGCAGGCGGTGCGCAAGGCATCGTCCCCGTAGCGACTTGTCGCAAAGGGATCAGCGCCCTGCTTGATCAACATTTTGGTGGTATCCAATCGATGCTCTTGGATGGCATAGTGTAACGCCGTCTTGTCCTGTATGTCCCTCGCATTAATGTCGGCTCCCTTGCGCACCAAGTACAAACAGAGCTGGACAGATTGCACGGAATTGATGAGACAGGTGCCGCCATTCACATTTGGCCTCTTGATATCGGCCCCATTCTCCACCAGGAACTTGACTGTAAGCAATAATTACAAAGGTTTTATGTGAGTTAATATGATGGCAGTTATTATATGGAAATGTATGAGTGGAAGGTAGCTCTAAATGGAATAGAATTGTGGGAGCTAAGCAGCTGCGAAGATGAACCATTAACAAGTCCTCACCAATATCCGTATGAGTCATGTAGCATGCGCTCCGAACAGGTGTCGAGCCCGAATCGGATGGGGCGTTTATGTCGGAACCGATGCGCACCAGATACTTGACCATGGACAGTCTGTTGGAGACGACGGCCGCCCACAAGGGCGACACATAGTGGAAGCTGTTGTCCTCGAGCACCTCGTAGTGGCCACGCTGCTCTATGTCCGCCTCGCAGATGGTTATCAGATATTCGGCAATGACCACAGCACCTCGCCTGCTGGCAATGAACAGAGGAGCGCATCCATTGCGTTGTCTCCTCACCACCTCGCGTCGGGAGTCGCGCGGAAGCCTGCGAATGAGATTCGAAATGGGAATCGTGAGAACGGGAAGTCTGATCAGCACGTGCAGCCATAAATTGTTTGGGGGCTACGATTCGCTTGTCGTTGATAAGGCGGACAGGTTCAACGACGCCAAACAACATTCAAAACATTGATTACAGGGCACTTCTACATACACAATACATACTTTTCTAGCTCGTGCCGAAGGTGACGGGACAGAATGGAGTACTCTAGGCTGCGCTTGCACTCTTCGATGAGGTCGTGGCTTAGTTTGATCAGCTCCACTTTGGGACTGGACTGCTTGCGTTCGTTAGCCATGGACGCGTCTCATCGCCGATGGTATGTTAGTGGCTGCCCTCGTTCTGTGCGTACGCGTACTTGCTTCCTGGATTGTCCTTGAGCCTTTTGCAGCCGTGGCGCGACACTGACCTACTAACTTTGGTTCAGGACTGAGCGGGCGCGTGCGAAGCGGGCGGGCTGGGGCGGTGTTCGTTGGCGTTGGCGTCAACTAGGTTGCGTTCCCGTCTACCGAAGGCCGTGACTGCGGTAGATTTTCGCCTGGCTGGGCTTTAGCACTTTCTTTTTTTTTCTTCTAATCAATTGTGTGCACCTTCCGAGAATGTAGAGCGGTAGCACTTTTGGCACTGGAAAAGTGCACGACACGTATTGCACTGAGTGTGGTCTTAAGTTAATATCTAATAACTGTTTTTACTAGATTAGTGTTGTATTATTTATACTAATTATTGTTGTTTTTTCTTTTTGTGTGTGTGCCAACTTCAAGCATAAAATAACTGAAACAGCTGTTCTAACATACTGGCCTAACACAACAGTAGGCTGTGCTGTTATCTGACAGTGAAACGATTTTCAAAATATAACGCAGCCGATTTCAATTTATCGCCCAAACATATCGATTATTACCTTAGCTCTTTAAAGAGGATCCTGGAAATAATCTTGTAAAAGATTTATTGATCAATCCGGTAAATTTATAGATTCACTTGTGAGACTCCCAACTAGCTGGTAATAGTAAGTATAATACCAAAATCGATGAAAATAATGGTATGAACGATGAACGATCGATATATTTGCGGTACATTTTGAAAATGAGAAAGTATAATTCGGTATATTTCTGAGGGTGTACATTATCGATAAGTCCGTCACTGAAAACAACAACGACGCGCGTCGCTTGTAAAAAAAGTATTTGTGTTGTTTGTGTCATAAAAGTGAAAGAAGAGGGCAAATGGATGCTACATCGGTAACTGATGCTACGGGGGCAATGGATGCGGGCAAGCTGGAGATGTTCCGTCAGCTAAATTTGTTGGAGCAACATCGTGTGGAGAGTTTTAAAGACTGGCCCTTCCCCGAGCAGTCATCCTGCAGTATATCCAAGGCAAGCGGCTTACAAAATGGTTTGTTTTTAAGTGCGATAATAATTAAACGCATTTCAATGCAGATGGCCGAGGCGGGCTTCTATTGGACGGGCACAAAGCGGGAGAATGACACGGCCACATGCTTCGTGTGCAGCAAAACCCTGGATGGCTGGGAGTCCGAGGACGATCCCTGGAAGGAGCATCTGAAGCACGCACCTCAATGCGAGTTTGTCAAGCTGGGATGTGCGGAAAAGGATTTGACGGTAAGTGCGCAGGAGCAGCCGCACATGCAGCCTTTCCTCATTTGATCATTGGGCGTCTTTCGCAGGTCACACAATTTCTAGATATACTGGGCACTGTGGTCAAGAGCAGCATAGAGAAGAGTTGTAAAGCGTTCAAGAAGAGCTTTATTAGGGATAACGAGAACAGGCTGGATGAGTTTACGCATAAAAATAAATAACACATGGATTAACTTCGCGTATTTTTAATTTTAAATTTTGTATGTAGAAATCACTTAATAAATCAGGTTGGCAGCCCTGAAGCACAAATCATCTGTTCCTCCCTGGCAATAATTTCGGTTTGTTGTCAGCTCGCGCTCTCATCGTTTAAACTGTAAAACGTAAAAAGTGTTATGTTGAAGCGAAAGCTGGCCCAGCAGACAGCGGGACTGTCAGAGGGGGAACCGAAGAGACCATTTATGGGCGCAGACACCACATCTGCTCTGTTTGCCAAACCCCTGTGGCAGAAGTTTTACGATATTGAGCGCAGTTTGAATGAAGTTCTCTCAACCATTGATACGCCTGCGACAATTGAATGCACATACAATCCCGTGGAGTATGCGTCATCCCTGCACTGCGCTTATTTGCGCAGTTTTCTGGATGCACCGAAGCACATCATGTTCATAGGAATGAACCCAGGTCCCACTGGTATGGTGCAAACAGGAGTAGGTTCAGGTCAGATGTGCTTGGCTCCGTGAGAAATTTACCCAAATCCTATTTTAGATACCCTTTGGCAATGTGCGTACGGTAAGCCAGTTAATGGAGCTATCCGGAGAGGTCGGGAGGCCGCCTGTTCTCCATCCTAAGCGACCGGTTGTGGGCTTAGAGTGCACTAAAGAGGAGATTAGTGGGGTGCGCTTGTGGGAGCTGTTTCTGCGGTTGGCTGGCGGCGGTCTAGACATATTTTCACAGCAATGTTTTGTCCATAACTTTTGTCCACTGGCCTTCTTCGATGCTGCCGGCCGCAACATAACACCGACCGAGCTGAAGGGTCCGTACAAGCAGAAGATCCGTGACGCATGCTTGGATGCCTTGGAGAAGCAGTTGCTGATTGTGAAGCCCCAGGTTGTGGTGGCTGTGGGCAATTATGTCTATCAAGCATTGAAGCGCTCGGACTACTGCAAAACGGTGTCCATGCTGTGCTTGGCGCATCCGAGTCCGCGTTCTGTGAACAACACCAATTGGCCTGAGAAGGCGCAGGAGTTTCTGGAGCAGCATGGCTTGGTACATTTCATGCGCAACGAAGCGTAGGTTTCGCATTTAAAATGCATGTGCATTTTGTGCAATTATCCATCGATTAAATGTAAGATATAAAATATCATAGTTCGTATCAACAAATATGCACATTCCGTACAAAATATTCACAATCTAATAAATTAGGAACAGGATCATATACTAACTCACAGTGTTAAACCACTAACCAAATAGTATAGTGGGTTAAGGCACTAACCAAATAGTATAGTACATTGTTAATTTGATGGCCAACGTCGCAGCTACATGTATTAGTGCGTGTAGAACACGCAGCTAGAAGTCCGTGTAGGACTAGGCGCCCGTGTAGAACACGCAGCTAGAAGTCCCAGCTACATTTGTATAACTGCGTGTAGAGCACGCAGCCAGAAGTCCCAGTACATTTGTATAAGTGCGTATAGCCAATGATTGTTTAGCGCTTCAAACCGGTTTTGTCTTGATTCACACAGACACTGCAAGTAATGTATGTGTTGGTGCGCTGACTTTCTGAAGTGCGAAGGATGATTTTTGATGATTTGATTTTGTTTTCGGGGCTTGGCGTATGAACCTGACCTGCCGCAACATGTGCAGAATGAGGGGTGGGGATTGGTGGCCGGACCCTTGGGGTTGGAAAAAATAAATATACCAATAAAAGTTGTTATTGTAATTGTATGCTGTAATTGTTTTATATGCAGATTTTATACTGCTTTATTCAAAATTGTATGCATATATTATGGAAACGCCGTCGCTTCTCGACTTCGTTGCTGCCGTATTATCAACATTGTTACCATATCCATCTTTTACAGAAAAATCTTTTCAGATAAATATAAAAACATATATGTACATACATACAATTTCCAATTTCTGTTCTCGTCTTCGGTTCTTTTCTCATTTTTTTTTTATTCTGATCTCACATACCATTCGAAATGAAAACCCTCAAGACTTTATGAAGAAGCTTGCCCCTCAATATCAAAATACATTTATTTTGAGTGACCTTTATATGCTTTATATAATTTAGGATGAAAGGGGTAACGGATTTAAACATCTGAATATGTATACAAATAATGAATTACCGCAATTGACTTTGCGTTGCAATTATTTTCCATTAGAGTATATTCACGGGTAAACAAGCATGGAGTTTTGACGGAACGGGACATGGAGACATGTTTGCTTACAAGGCGGCTGCCTTGCACATGTACACACACATTAACACTTGCACATTTTCCTCCGACTCCCATCGACAAATCGAGATTTGGACAACTGACTCAAATTTGATGCCCAGCATGGCACTGAAATCTGAATATATATATATTGTGGTAGTAATATATATATGTATGTATTCTATTTATATCACAGTATATACATATATATATATTCTTGATCTATTACTATACAGTATATACATATATATATATATATTCTTGATCAGCATCAATAGCCTAGTCGATTAAGCCACGTCTGTCTGTCTGTTCTCCCTATTAGTGGTTAAGGTATATCTCGGTACATCTACGGTATATTTTAAAATTGAAGAGGTATATTTCGGTATATTTGTGTAGGTCAGTCACACTGGCTTTTTGTAAACAAATTGCTGATTTGAGCGACTTCCAAGCAAAATTGCAATCTTGGCGGAAATATCCGCTTAAGGCGCTAAGAAACCATACATAACAAATGTGGAATAACCACGAGATACATGGAAATGTATACGACATAAATACAATAAAGAACGAGGAAATCATACACTCAGAAGATGCAGAAGCCGATGTAAAGGTTTGTTGAGAGAAAATTCTTAAAAAGCCACAAAGCTAATCTTCGTTTACTTGCAGACAGAATTAACAAATCAAAGAAATCATCAGCCACGTATTTTACGATTCGCCATGGCCAAGAAACGCCAAGCGCTGCCGTACATGAAGCCAGGGCCACAGAATCGCGAGGAACTCTTACAGAGCATAACGCATAACCGTGAGGAACTGGCGGCCTTCTTTCAGAAAGTGTCTCCAGATGGCGGACAGAATGATTATGCTGCTGCAGCGATACCACCTTCAATTGGTAAACCTACTGCTCCTGTGGAGCAACGCAACAGCTACGATTTGTTCTTTGAAAGTGCCTGCGTTAGCGTCAAGGGCCTGCCGCCAAAACTGGCTGCCGAGGCCAAGAGTCGCATTTCCCAGATAATCACCGAGTTCGAGATCCGTGCCATTTCCGAGCAGGAAGCCAAAGTCGAGGCGGCACAAGCCAGAGCTCTCATCCGTGCACGTAAAGTAGGTGGGGAGTTACACGTACTTGAACATTCAGCCATGTTTCACACTTCAGAATAAGACTTACAAAATTCAATAATAAATTCAAAATCGTTCGCTACCGTTGGCAACCATTTGTTCGCGTTTTGGTCTCGAATTGTATTTAAATATAATTTAAATACGGAAATTATTGAGCATAAGGGAAGATGGTCGGAAAGCTGAAAGTGTGCATAATTGGCTCGGAGGGCTGGTAAGTGGTGGCCATAATTCTTTAACTATAACCCACCTAATCTTTAACTACTCTTATTTCAGGGGCGCGGCAATTGCAGCCACTGTGAGCAACAATGTTAAGCAGCTGGAGGGCTTCGACAGCCGTGCGCACATCTATGTCTATGACGAGCTGGTACGCAGCAAATATCTGTCAGAGGTAATGAACAATTGCCACGAGAATATCAAGTATCTGCCTGGCATTAGGCTGCCAGAGAATTTGGTGAGCGAGGAGAGCTACTGTGGCTGCAGGGCAGGGAAAACCTAATCAATGTTTTCTTTGCAGATTGCCGTAAATGATTTATTGGAGGCTGCCAAGAATGCCGACATTATGATATTTGCCACGCCACAGCACTTTGTGAAATCGTATTGCAACATATTGGCCGGCAAGGTGAAGAAGAACGCCATCGCCCTGTCCATGGTCAAGGGTCTGGCGCATGTTTCCGATGGCGAAATCGACCTCTACTCGAATTTGATTAGCCAGCAGTTGGACATGCCGTGCTACTCGCTGATGTCTGCCAACAGCGCCATGGAAATGGCACAGGGCAAGCTCTGTGAGCTGACAATTGGTTGCAATGATGAGAATGATGCGCGACTGCTGACTGAGGTGCTACAAACAGACAACTGTCGGGTGATTACCATTGACGACGTTGATGGCGTGGAGCTGTGTGGCACGCTGAAAGATATCATTGCGCTGGGTGCGGGCTTCGTTGATGGCCTGAATTTGGGTGAAAATGCTCGAGTGGCTGCCCTGCATCTGGGTGTCAAGGAGATGATGCGTTTCACAATGACTTTCTATCCCACTGCCAAAATGTCCACATTCTTTGAGAGCTGCGCCGTGGCCAACTCGGTGGCCTCCACCTATGGTGGGTACAACCAAACAGCGTGATCCAGCACTAATCCATCCATTCCTTCTTTTTAGTCGATAAGAATGTCACCTTTGCCAAAAGTTTCATCACTTCTGGAAAGACCATTCAGGAGATTGAGTCGAATCTCTTGAATGGCCGCAAACTGCTCGGCCCCTTGGTGGCCGCTGAGCTGAACGCCTTTCTGGAGGAGGAGGACATGCAGGATGAGTAAGTGGCCCGCAATGGCCCCTAATCGAACACCTAACCATCATGTACACCCACAGATTTCCCCTCTTTACGGCCATACACCGAATCTGCCAGAACGAGGTAGAACCCGAGACAATACTGGAGACCCTGCGGACTCACCCAGACCTGAGGTAGGCGAGGCACCTCCACACTTGTTGACTGGACGCATATTCATCTTTCCTTATCCCAAGCAGCAGCCTATCTTTTTCACAATTCCTCACGGATGAGAGCACCACGGAAGATAGTCTCGAGAAAATATTGGAAACTCCGCCCGAACCTATTTCGGCCTTGGACAAGGCCCTGGCTGAGGCAGAAAAAAAGAAAAGCTTTCGGGAATTGAAAGAGAATGGCAGCTGGCATCTGGTTTATGATGTAAGCAAAGCCAAAAAGCAGACATCGATCGATCCCTGGCAAGTAAACGAGGCGAAGGAACTACAGATAAGTGGTTGGCTGGAGTCCCACGATTCCAACGAACCCAAAAATGCCTCCGGTACTCAGGGCTCAGGCGAAAACGAAAGCATTGTTGGCTCCACATCGGGGTCAGATGATTGCCAAGGCATCGGATGTACTGAGAATGCGGATGCTGAAAAATTGACAGATAAAACCGAGAAGAAGTTGCCTGTTGACAAAACCTGGCTAAGGGATCAGCCACCACCAATGATAATTGGGCGCGACGACAAAGCTACCACCGAAACACCATTCAAGGATTCTAATATGCCAAAAGTGGACGCTGCGGGGACGAAGGAATCCGTGGAGAATCACCCTAGGCCGTTCATCAATAAATTTCAGGCACTGAACATAAAGCCCAAGACGGGAAAACAAAGTAAAACTGATACAGAGCCAGCTTCCTTCAAAGCCAAAGACGAAAGTCTGAAAAGTGAAGGTTTTCCTAAGAAACTAACGAAGCCAACGTTTTCGCACACTCAACAAATACGGCAACAAATCGAGGCCTTAACGTCTAAGAGTAAAGGAAATGACAAACCAGAGTCTGAGAAAAATGTAAATGCATCGGAGGCAGCTGGAGAGCGACCCAAAACTGATGTCGAAAAGGCAACAAAGGCTGAAACTTCGAGCGCTCAGCAGGAAAAGCCAAAAAGTGAAACAATTTCCAGTACTCCTGAAGATAAAAACCAAATGCAAGAGGATCCTGTGAACATGAAAGTGCCCAAGCATAAAGAATCCTCAGCAACTGGCTCCGAGCATCAATTTGTTTTTGACAGTCTAGAGGACAAGCACCGCTTCGAGTCAATTTTAACGTCAAAGTCGAAGAAAGACAGGCCATCCAGAATAGATGGCTCTGAGAGTGGGAATGATTATACGCAGACCTGGAGGTACATGTCGCCCCCTCAACCTTTAAAGAATCTTCAGGTTAACGCAGAAGATAAACAGCAGGAACAGGAAGAGCATGAGGAAATATCAGAGACCATGGAGGAAAACAAGTCGGTACCCAAGGAACAGCAACAAGACAGCCTCACGGAAGAAAACTTTGAGAAGTGGAAGCAAGTGGAGGCGGAGGAACGAACAGCGAAACACTCACAGACCGAAGAGAATTTGTATCTTAGTGCTGAAGAGCTCATCAGACGTGAATTGGAGCACCATCAGAAAGAGAATTACGAGCTTGCAGAGCAGGCGGAAGCCACCAGGATACCGAAGGAGAACGAGGGAGAAGGCAAACAGGAGATGGTCCCCGTAGATGAGGAAGCGCCTAAAGATGTGGACAAAAGAGAGTTACTGTCTGAAGAGAGAAAGAACGATGTTCAGCGGCCTGCAATAAGTGGCCAGAAGAAACCGCACCAGAGCCCCGATGAGGCCAACCTGCGCTATTTTAGCTTTGACAAGAAGAATGGCAAGGGTCACGAATGGGATTGGCTGCACAACAAAGAAACTCCGGAGACCAAAGCCAAACCAGTGGATGAGCGCTTGTCGGAGTATTACGTGAACGAGAATCGTGACCAGCAGAAGCTCAAAAAGCTCAACAAGCAGCTGCAGGAAGTATTCAAAAAACATACGGAAGAGGCAGACCTAGGGTTCGAGGCTTCTGGCAATTCCGTCGAAAGCCACGAATCCAGCGAGACTAAGCCACTGGCCCTCGATCCTGTGACTGCCCAGAAGAGACGTGATGCGCAACAGCCGCAGACCCCGGTTCCGGGGCCAAACCCAACTCCGGCAAAGGCGCCTCCACCCATGCCCAAACGCCAGAAGATTGCAGAGGGTTCGCCGCAGTTTCAGGCTGCACCGCGTACGATTCCACCACCATCGCCGCAGACACTGCCGCTGACCCCCCAGGAACAGCAGCCACACCGCAAGAACTTGCCCATCCAAAGCGACGCTCTTGAGCAGCCACCAGCATCACATCAAGCGGATGAAAGGTTCAAAGCAGCGCGTGGCCAGAAAGAAATCATTGATACGCCAGCAGCAAACAGAATGGCGCACTCACAAAGCGACCAGCAGGGCACAAAGAAGGCAGAGGCTCCAGCATTTGAAGTGAAAAAGTTGATGTCGCATTTCTTGAAGAGATACAAACCAGAAACCACCAAGAAAGTGGAGACTCCACCAAATGAAGTGAAAAATCAACGCGAGAGCGCTTATGAGTTGGTGAATGATCCAAGAACCGCAACGAAGGAGCATAAACCACTTCCTGAAGAAGACCACACTCCACCGATAGAGAAACCTTCTGCCCAGGCATCACCGAAGGAGCAAAAGCAGCTGAAGGCGGGCGAGATGACCAAGAAGCTGCGTAGTATGCTGCGCAGAGATCAGGAAAAGAAAGTGGGCTACAAGGGCAAGAATCCCTTCCTCAAGGAGCCAGACTTGCAGTCCCACCCACCGATGGATACCAGTCTCGAGCACGACCTTGCGAGGCGCAGGTCCACGGGGCAACAGTTGCGTCGCACGGTGGTGGTCAAGCCGCCCTTCAATCCTCCACTCAATCCTCGTGTGCGCATACCACGCCCGCCCTTCGATGGTCGAGATCGCGAGTGCCATACCCTGGCCATGCCAGCGATCTGGCTGAACCTGAAACAAACTCAGACCCAGACCACGCTGAGAACTGGCAACCAGGTGAAGCAGCTGTCCATGGCGGTACACAATCCTCGACAGTTACAGGTGCCATTAGGGCTGCTCCCTCGTTGCCCGGCACTAAACAAACTCATCTGCGCCGTACAGATTGGGTTGCTGGCCACGTTCGTCGCTCGCTACAGAAATCGCAATAAATAGACCAGAACCGAACTGAATGATGCCAACGAACCCTGCCCAAATAAAGTCTAAATTTAAATAAAATTAACTTTAATTAGTTAGCTATAACCAGGGCCGTCGATGGAAGATCTGTCGCGACTCCTGCGACTGCAGTGGCCGGAAATTGTTGAGCAATGGTCGGCCATGGCGGTTCCGCAGCTGCCAGAATTTGGGCAGATCCTGGTGGGAGATGGGCAGCACCTCGGCAAACACGTGCCACAGCACGGAGGGCGAGCAGGGCGGCGTTGTCAGCGAACCCTTGTAGCTGTAAAAGTTCCTCACATCCAGATTGCTCAACAGCGATCCAAGTGTCATCAGAACCGGAGGTGCATAAGTGCTGTTGAAGTCTCCTACGTGCAGCAGCGAGGCAAAGATCTCATTGAGTCCGGGCTGGTAGAAGGTGGGTCCCGTCTGCAGTTAAATTAAGTTTTTGGCATTGGTTTTTGTGTTCTTACGGAGCTGCTCGATCTGTACTTACCCGCTCCACCTTGAAGAGCACTGCCAGCACCGCCAGGCCGTCGCTGTTATTGCGCGCATCCTCGTCGCTGATGTACTTGGTGTTGTGATGCACAATATGCATTTCCAGATCGTAGCGCCGGCCATTTAGCAAATGCTCCGAGCCCTTGCTCTGCTGCGAGCCCCAGTGGAAGTGCACGTCCCTGGCCTCGTAAAAGTCCTGCAGCAAGCCGCCAGTCACATAGGGACGCTCCCCGAAGATAGTCGTAGGAATGGTAAAGTGAACTAAAATTAACAATCTTAGAGTGTGTTTTGGGATAACCAATTTGCTTACCTGTATGCCCATTGTTGTGTATGCTCAAGAGCTGATCGAACGGCTCGTCGTAGCGATAGAAATGCAAGGGAGGCAGACCAATGGGTATTACCTTGTACCTACTGATGGCAATCGGTGACTGCTCTGCCCCGCCACAATTGGGAAACGCGTCCTTCCATTCGATGGGGGCATTGTAGTCGAAGCTTCGCTCTTGAATGCCAAAATCTAAAAGGAAAATGGACCCCGTAATAGTTATTATAATCATCATCTGATCTTTACATTTATCTTCACTGTAATCTGCAACTGTTTCCATTATTTAGGTAATCTTTCTTGTGGCAATAGGCTTGGTCACTTGGCAAACGATTAGGAAGTCTCTCTTCAACATTTCCTCACCAAACAGTCTCTGATTTACCTCTAAGTGTGGCTTAATTGCCTTATTTTGGGGGCAGTCTGTGGATATTCCTTGTTGTTTCTTTACATTGTTTTACGGTGGGTCTTATAACAATGACAACCCAACGGTGGGTTCGACTGAGACTGCGACATCTACTCCGCCTCCGCGATTGACGCGCTCATTGGCTTTCATGGAGCAATTGTGCATGCAAATTTAATTATTGTTATTATTTACAAGCCACTGTACTGTTTGCTATCCATTAGACGATGCCAGAGACGCCGGCAGTTATATGGGCGTTGAGTGTGTAGAGATGGCTCATAAATTCCTCTCCCAGACTGAACCAGACTGTCTGCGGGCTACGCAATCGCCTAGGCCTAGGCCTAAAAATGGTCATGTCTCTTATGCTCCAGCGCCCATCAAGGGGAAGGGGTTGGTAGATCGGCATCGATCGATGTCTGGCGTCTCAATATCAAGGAGATCGATTGCACAATCGGCAAATCTTTTGCAGATATCTATTCTTTGGTTCCACTTGGTTGGTTTGCAGACACATCCGTAATGATTATTCCATATTCCATTTCCAATGCATCAATACTCACTTGTGGCAAACGGCAGCAGAAACAAAAGTCGCTGATAGAAGTCATTAAAAGCAGGAAAATGCATTTTCCACCCACGCACAATCGCCACACACCGAAAAATACAAGATGAAAGACACGATCCGTGCCACTCCAAAGAGATCCACGCACGTTTCTCTGCAGACTGAGCCATGGCCAGCGTTGGCCAAAACCTTTATACCAAAAAGGGCTTCCCCTGAGAGCAACATTGTCAAACGCTCGACGGAGCAGCAGTAGCAGCGCTCGAGGAGATGGTTATCTCGTCTCGACGTGCATATACCATATACCTCTGGTAGTTGGTGCCGTAACCTAAAGATTTTGTTCAACTGAGATAATGAGACAGCTGGGTAGTGTGGAACACAGCAAATGTAATCCATAATTATGAATATAGAAAGATGGAAATGGGAGTATCAAATTCTGCAGAAATCAATGGGTATAGAAATGCCATTTAAAAATCCATAAATAGAGCAAAAAGTAAGTCTGGAGACTGTGGAAAATGGAAATATTTGGGATTCATAAATAATATATGTAATATCTGGATTTTGGACACTTTCAATTAGTAAAAGAGATAGCAAAATGGTTGAAGATATACCAGGAACACAGAACGAACTACCATTACTATGCACATGGAATATTTCCGATTTTTATGACTTTGTGAGTTCTGCTTTAATTTTGTTAAATAATCTTTGGAGGCAGAAGGGCAGAGTAGATTAAGTCTGGCTGTTGCACAACATTTTCAAAAGGTTCTGTACAATTTAATACAATTTAACGGTGCATACAAATATATTTACATATGTAAATATGTACATATGTATATGTAGTTCTAAATAATGATTTAACTTTCTGAACATAAGCGTATTGCCAGCAGCTTTCAGCTGCATTTATTTTAGTTATTTCGCTGGCGGGCTTAATTGAAATCCAGGGTTTTTGTTATATAAAGCTGATCAGACTAAAAGAGCCTCTTTTCATAGCCATAATTTGAGCAGAAAGCAGTCGTTCGGAGTGCGGAGTAAACGTATTTTTGAAAGTTGGTAGGTTTATTCCAGATTTATATGAAAATCAAATTAAATTAAAATACAAGAGTTAAACGAAATACTTATAATCTTCCGGTCCTTAGGATCCGGTGAACATTCAGGAAGTGGCAATGCAATAAGTGTAAATACGGGCTTCCAAAGATATTGAGTGTGAATACATTTCTGGAATGTGTGTGAAAATAATAAATATGTAATTCCCAAAAATTTGACGCTTCTAGTTTATGTTCTTTGAGGATCCAATAGCGATGTCGAATTTAAGAGCCAACAAACGCAGCACAATATTAGGGTTCGTTTTCCAAAACAACGTAGGTCTAGTAAAACATTTCAATAAAAGTTGTTCCAAATTTAGTACAACTGGAAGATAGCTTTGATCTTCCCATGGCAAAGGCATTCCTTTTACTTGACTACAACACATTAACGACCGCTTACACATTCCATATTTTCAAAGTTAAATTGCAGTTATTATTGATTTTCCAATCACAGCTGTGCGAAAAGCAGTGCAAACAAAAGCAGTGCATCAGCCAGCAGACATTGCAGCGGAGAGCATCAGCTGTCGACCAACTGCACACAACGAGTGTGTGAGTGTTCCGAAGCGTCAACGCATCGACAGCAGCAGCGGCCGCTGTGATAAAATTGTTTGCCAATAAGCATTTTTGCTTAGTACAAAGCGCCGGCAGAAGAAGCAGCAGGAACCGGCATCGGGAACTCAAACTGTAGGAAGTGGGAAAGCTGGAAAAAAGCGGCGGAGCAATGGCAATTCTGAAGTTCTTGCGAAACAAACTGTAACGTATCTAAGGCACTCTTAGCAGCAGAAACAAAGTACAATTTAAAACAATCAATCAACAACAAACAACAGCACAACAACACAACAATAAATATGCGCTCCATGCGTAAGTATTGGGGGATAAGTGATAGAACAGATGAATGGTACTCCAGCCACTGCTTTTGATTTTAATTTATAATTTGAACAATATAAAGTTCACGGTTGAGATTACTATAGCCTCTAGACTGTTCTTTTTTGTTCAGATTTGTTCTATTTATATTTCTATAGTCTATTTCGATTCGATTCAATTGTTCTCTTCTTGTTATATCACACAAAAATAGTCACTCCGTTCATTGTTGTTAGACAAGCTTTATTTGTGGTCTCCACGTACGTATTTGTTTAAATTGTTTCAAATAAGTGTTCAGCTTGGAATTTATATTGGAAAGTGAAACTTAGAAAAATGGCTTCTACGTTTGTATCAGACTGTGGAAGTGAACCCAAAAAAAAAGTGAATTGACTCAAATGATTCAAGGTCACATGAAAGGCAGTTGTTGGAGTACCATTAATGGGCCAAGAATTAGGCGCGGACACGACTAAAACTATTTACTCGAATGCGAACGTGGAATGCAGGAAAACAGCAACACGTACTGGAGGGAAGAATGAGCCGAGCAAAACAAAAGCAAGATGAACGAAGCGAACCGAAAAGTGAAGAGGGAAGGGAGGGCAAAAGGTGTACACAATGCTGTGTGAGTGTGTGTGTTGCCGCTGTTGAATCTGCCGCTGTCTGGACATCAGATAATGCGAATTATATTTTGTTTTGTCTCGTCATGTTCTCGGAGCGCGCGTTTTTCTCTCGCTTCTTGTTTGTATCTTTTTTAGATACTATCGTTCGTACACTAACCGAAAATATGTGTGGAATGCGCGTCTTGTTGTCTTCTCGGTCGTCTCGTCGTCGGGGTTTCTGAGCCCGTGAGTCCAGCCGAGCCCAGCACCGGGCATCGGAAACGAAACGAAACAATCGCATAGACAGCGCTGAGGTGAACACACACACATTCAAGTTATCCAGCGCGACTTAGCTACCGTTATCTCCAGTCATCATGAGGTAGATTAGGATTTCCCCCCCCCCCATTCTCACACTCATCAGCTAATCTGTTGAGCTCCATAATCAAGCAGCATTAGAATGGATATAGTACTAGCAGCTTGAGATAAATCTTCCAAATACCAGAAGCGCCAGGCGAAATACAACTTTTAAGATCTGTGCAATATCGGACCCATTTATAAGTTAATTTAACAATCCATCTCCATTGCAGATCCCAGTACATGATGAAGACGAATCGGCTGGTGTTGCTGCGGCACGGTGAGAGCGAGTTTAATCTGGAGAACAAATTCTGCGGCTGGCACGATGCGCCACTCACTGAAAACGGTAACCGAGACACGAACAATCCGATCTGCAATACTAATCGAGTTGCATAAACAGGTGAACGAGAGGCCTGCATGGTGGCCACCCCAGCGATCCGCCAGTCGCAATTGGATTTCGATGTGGTGTACACTTCGGTGTTGGATCGCTCCAAAAAGACCGCCGATCTGATACTGAGCAATATGAATCGCGCCTATGTGCCGGTGAAGGCCGACTGGCGTCTATGCGAGCGCCACTATGGGAATCTGACGGGCTTTAAGAAGCGCGAGATAGCGAATATTTATGGAGAGGATCAGGTGCAGGCCTGGCGACGCGGCTACGATGATGTGCCACCGGCCATTGATGTGGAAAATCGGTATTACTATACGATCCGGAACAATCCCATTTTCGACGATGTGCCGGCGGGTCAGTTTCCGCTGACAGAGTCCCTTGGCATGTGTGTGGATCGCGTGGAGCCCGTGTGGAAGGAGATCAAGCAAGAGGTACTCAACGGCACGAGAGTCTTGATCTGTGTTCATGGAACGGTTACACGGGCCCTAGTCAAGCACATTGAGTGTGAGTATTTCCTGTAGTTTCCTAATTTATGATCATCTCTTCATTTCCATTTACTTCCAGGTATCTCCAAAGAGGCCATCCAGAAAGTAAACATTCCCAACTGCATTCCCCGAGTGTACGAGTTCAACATGAAGACTGGGGATCTGCTTGGGGGTGCCATCAATCTTGGTGATCCGGAATATATCAAAAAGAAGACGGCTCAGGTGGCAGCCATCGGCGATTAAATAAAGCGAAAACTTCAATATAAATCGCGAATAATTATGAATCTACACAAAAGATATCCATATATAGGTTGAATGCTCTTGCAGTTGGAGTGGTTCGAGCGTATATGTATACATAAAATATATTTAAACCATAAGTTATACCCTATACACACTATATTTTCGACCAAAAATATACAATTACAAATAATACAAAAGTTAAGCAGAGACTAGATAGGGATTTGGAGGTATTCTCTCTATAATATGTGTTTGAAATACACATGATTAGGGTGATCTTGATCGAAATCATATACGAACACAGCAACAGAAGGGCCTGTCTAAATGGATATATTTTCAATGGGTATTCATTTTGAGACTTCGAGACAACAAGAAAGGAACTTCTTACCGCTTTTCAGTAAATTTTCTTTCGATTTTTTCTTTCTTTCTTTTAATTTTATCTTTAAATTTTCTCATTCACAACTATTTAATTTAAAATGTCATCTTATGATCTAATAAATGCGTTCTATAATACTTTCAGTTGGTGCCCTTGCCTTGGACACAAGGGGGGCTGCATTCAGTAGTAGCTCTGATCGTTGTACAGCGGACTGAGGTTGTTGGGCAGGATGTAGATGTCTTCGGGACGACCGTTGAACACGAACGGACGCTTCAGTGAGGTCAGTTTGGAGTCGTGCTGCGGTACTGGCATCGAGGCGAGTCCGAAGCCCTGCTGAGACTGGCCGTAGGCGGCGGACGGCGCGGATATGGGCCGGAAGGGATTGCTGGGCGTGGGCGGGCGCCCCATGCCGTATCCAGGTGTAAACTGTCCCAGATCGCTTGGCGATCCATTTACCTGGTAGATGCCGCTGGGTTTGCCGTTGGCCAGGAAATTGACGGGCAGATTGAACACGGAACCGAAGGTGGAGAACGAGGGCATTGGCTGGTAGGTGAGCAGCGGGGAGAAGCCGTTGCCAAAGGGATTCGGTGGCATGTTCGGCACAAACATGTACGGCGTAGGCGGCAGGCGGACGTAGTAGATGGGCGAGTTCCGGGCCGGAGACGATGGATGAGGTGCAGCCGGACGACGTCCGCCAGCGGCACGCGACATAACCACATCCTCGAGGTCGTTGGTGGCCCCAGGGAAGGCGGGATAGAACATATCGGGGGCTATGTAGAGAGGGAAAGGGATGAGCA